TATTTTTGATAACTTAATGTTAATATATTGTATGCAAATGGATTGATTATATATAATATGATATATATATATTTAGTATTATGAGGCATTAAATGTGATTTAGTTTGATTATTTGTCAATCTACAATATATATATATATATATATATATATAATTTACGACATACAATCACGACACACGAATGTGTGTCATCTTTTCTAATGATGTGTGCTTCAATGACACGCAATGTAAGTCATAAATGCGTGTCATATTCATTTATGACGGAGGCTTCAATGACGTGCAATGAGCGTCATAAATGCGCATCATAAATTTATAATGCACAGTTGCGCGTCATCTTAAATTCATGTCGGTGGCTTCAACGATAGGCAAATGTGTGTCATCCGCACCCATAGATGACGCACAATGCACGTCATTAAAGGGGTTTTTTCTACTAGTGGCACCCGAGTTTTTCACCAACCATCACTAATCTGGTTACATCATCATTTCTAAACTTGAGTTACCTAGCCTTAAACCTAAAATTAGATCGTGCTCTGAAAGTCAATTCATGCCCAAGATCATGTTGAACTCTCTAAACGGAAACTCCATAAAGCTAACTGTGAAAATTTGACCTTAAATTTTAACTGGACATCAATGGTGAACCTTATCGACCAGGATATCTAACATTAAAGGGCGAAACACCCTGACTCCTACCTTTAAATCTTTGATTGGAAGGTTTCTTTCTCGGACTAAGTCATAACATATGAAAGAGTATATGAATCATGGATCTACCAATGTCATAACTGGAATGAAAAATAAAGTAAAAGTACCTGAAATCCGATTCACTGCATCACACTCCTCCTAGGCTCAAACAACATACCGTCATGAGGCTACTCAAGTCTCTATGCTGGCTACAAATATAACAGTGCCTCTACTGTGTTGTTTAGAAGCAGAACTCCTACCTCTCGAGGTCCCCGACCTCTCTGAAACGTCTCAGTTGATCTTTGGCTCGATGTTGGGGTCATACTCGATGTCTCGAGGTAATATCTGATGAAGTGATCTAATAAGTCACAACAGAAACATCCTCAAGTCCTAAAATGGCATTCAACAAGGTACCTCTTCCCATAGGTCGAACAGGCTAGAAAATGCATCCTCATAGACCTTTGGTGTTCGACATTGATGTTTTTGCTAAAGGCCTCTTACGAGGCCTTGATCTACCCCATGATTTGTACTATGACCCGATCTTATAGACTGGCTCGTTGAGGTTCACAAGCTTTGAGAATCCTTGGCCCTCTTGATCGGTGCCTGAGCGGGTCTCGAGGACTTTGTTGTCATCTAACTCTGTCCTTGACTAACAACTGATGCTCTGGACCTTATCCCTAAAACCTTCTAGATTATATTTTCTTGACGGGTCAACTCATCGAAGATCCTAAGTGAATCTACAACCATGTGGGTGAGAATGTCGAGATGAAAACCCTTCCTAAACCTCCTACAGTGATGATACTCAAACGTCACCAACTCCGACGTGTACTAAATCAAGCAGAGAAACTCATCATCGATGTCGCCCGCTAAGAAGGCAAGACTCTCCTCTCTACCCTCGTGGCTAGGGGTTGTGCTATCGTCTATAACTATTTTCGCTGAAATAAACAAGGGAAAATGAGTCATTATCATTGGCCCATACATAAAAATATATGTCAATACTCTAGGAAGCATGTATACATATGGACCCATTACTAACTCTAACCTGCGAGTCCTAGAAACAACTAAACCTGATACTCTTATGCCACTAAATGTAACGTCCTAATCCAATACGAATTAAAGATCGACGGACCAAGACATCACACGGGACCACCCAAGTGGTTAACCCAAAAATTTTCTTTTTAAACAAATAAGACATCATTTTAAAATCATCCATGCTAATAAATAAAAATAAAATCATAGTATTTAAGTTACAAAATATGAGAACCCCTAAAATGCATCCCAATTAAGTTTAACAATATTTCAAAATACAATAACGACTCGAATACAATAAAGTCCATACACAATATATGTCCTTAATAAAATACTCAAGACATACTCGAAAGCTTGTGTCGGTCTGGAATGTGAATTGCACAATAAGTTCCTCGAACGCTTCTCCTAAGAACCTGCGCATGAAAACAAATTCCGAACGCTGAGCTCACAAGCTCAGTGTCACACTAATAACCAAAAAATATTAAATGCGTCCACTATATGCACATGCTAGAAATCGTAAATGTTAGCATACAAAGATGCTAAGATAAATATACATACAAAGGTAGGCATCATGGTATGGTCGGAGGGTTTTGCTACATCTTATAGAAACACACCCCCTAGCCTACCTAGGATGAGATCTAAAATTTCTAAATCGAAAATGTTTACCTGACCAACCTACTCCTTATGAGTAGCTGGGGCATCTATGCTCGGTCTGTAAAGAAATGCCTTATGAAATAATTGAGAATTGTCCACACATTCTAGCATATCAACATTCATCCTACCACTAAAGTAAATCTGGTGTCCTTATTGTTTCCCGAGCATCCTACAAAGGTTAGATTTATGATTTCCTAATTTAACTCGTTCTAAATGTAATTATAATTTTTAGCGTTGTTCTCGCTTGAAAACTTATTTTGGATGTTTCGATGGCCTTTGGTCGCTCTACCTGGACCCTTAAATTGAATAGGTTTTTTACCTAATTCAGGACAAGGGTACCGATAATCTTAGTTGGAGTACTGGTACAGGCACACTAGGGTATCTATACTACCCTTAGCATCAATACCAAACTTGGTTTCGATGTTTTGGAAAATTCCTTAGTATTAATACCCTAGTTGCAATATTGATACTTCTATATGAGGGTGTCAATACTACCACGAGTATCAATACCAAAAATAGCTTCGATGTTTTAAAAATTACCTAGATATCGATACTCCTACTGAGGGTATCAATGCTCTACCCTTAGTATATATACTCCCATTAGTACCGATACAAATATTGGCTATTTAAATTTGTTAAGTGCACTTAGTATTGATATATTTCTTGGGAGTATCGATACCCAACCCTCAGTACTAATACTCGATGAATGAGTATCGATACTTTTATCCCAAAACTCCATTATTTTAACCATCGGATGAACATTACTGGTACTGTTCTTACAATACCGATACCCAAACCCATAAGTGCCCTGTTTGGGTACGAAAAATGCAATCAACTCTACCCATTCTTTCCCTTAAGGCCATCAAATGATGCTTAAGTCTTATGTAAGTTTATAGGGATCATAAGGGATAATATTTCATGCTCAAAAACATAATAAACTAAAATTTTCCATGATTATGTTCATATGTTTCATAATTAATGCAAGCTAGGAAAATGCACTTAATAACTCACAAATGGTATATAAAGGTTAGAAATGTGTTACCTTAGCTTCTTAGCTACAGGAAATATCTTCAATCAACCACGAACCAACTTTTCTTTGTTTTTAGCTTTAGAGCTTATTCCTATCTCTTTCACTAATACAACATAAGAAAAATGAGTTACTAACTCATCTAGAGACTTAGAAAGATTAGAAATATGGTTTTAAACTTCTAAAAAGGAATTAGGAGCACTAAGGAACTCTAAAACCCAAAACTCAATTTAAACCCCAACCTAAGGCTTTCCATGGTCAAATCTTAAAATAGGAGGCTTGGATGAAAGCTTGGGATGTTGGGATTTCATTTCTTACTTTGAAAATTCTGAAATGTGAGTGAGAGTCTACAAGTTTTCACCTTTGATAAGTTTCTGAGGAGTCGTAGGAAGGATTTTGAAAGAAAGAAGAAGAAGATAAAAGGACAAAGCTCCCCAACGTGACATAAGCCCAATAAATGGGAATTCAGTCTTTAGGTAATTTCAAGGACAAATTACAATATTGGTCTTTTCATTTTTGGTCAACTTCTACAAATATCATTTTTAAGCTTAGATGGGTTCAAGCCCAGTTCTTGGGAAGTCCAAACCATCCTAAAACATTTAATAGGTTACTTGGTTTACTCCTAAGTTTGAATTACTCGAATCTACTAACCCTAGATTCGAAGTGTTACAAAATTAAACCCATTTAAAAGTTTAGTGGTCAACGCAAATTTGAAAATGATAATCATTTCGATACCAACCCGTTAGTTGGATGGTCATCCAAATAGTTTACCCTTATTAAAGCAGTAGTTTTAGTATTATAGTACGTAGATTCTCGATTTTTATGGTAGTTTTGATATCGTCCTATAGATGTTTATTTTTTTAACATTTCAAAGCTTATTTTGGTGTTGATCCCTTAGAGATAGTATTGATACCCAATGATAGTATCGATACCAAAAAAATTTATTTCCATCTTTCTAAATACCCAAAATTTTATTTACATCTTTCTAAATTTCTATGCTTACGTCTTTATAAACTTCTAAGCTTAGAATAGTATCGATACCTTAATATTGACATCGATACACGATTATTAGAGTTATTTTCATATAACATCAAACCTTATGTTGGTTCGGTACCAACAATCCGATACGAATGAGCTTTGTAATTCAGAGTTTTATTTCTTGTTGGACAAGTTTCTTTGCTAAAGCCGATCATAGGGTTCTAATTATTCTTTTAACATTAGTATTATTTTATGTACGTAGATGGTACACGGAGAAGGTTTATTGTAGATTCAAGTTTTTCTTTGGAGGATTCCTAGAGAGTAAGATTCTCGTAACAATATACAGATATTTCTGAGTCTAGACATAGATGGTGGCCGCAGGTGGTTTAACAGAAAAAGAAGACTCAAAGCAACACAAGTTTTAAATGTTTTCTATTCTGTTATGGTCCTAAGCCTCAATTGATTGCAATTGGAATTAAAAAGAAAAGGGAACAAAGCCCCATAATATAATAACTCGTTACAGCAGAGCTCACCAAAAGCCACTGGCACCTACTAAGAACAATCAATAAACCAACCTACAAGATCAAACAATAGATTACTGTTCGACTAAAAAAGATCATATTCTGGTGGTATGATCGAGATAATATTCCAGCTTTAGCTAATTCAACTCTTTGAAACACCAATCCATACCTTTAGCTAATTCCGAATAATATTCTGCTGATATGATCCAGATAAAATTCTGCAGGTCACCATGTGCAAGTGCACATACAAACACCCATTTTTCAAGAAAAAACTCAAACCTGGTGACATGACTCCATGTGGAGAACACCCACATGATCCAGTGAGAAGAAATATCACAGATACGTCCCACTGGTCACTTACCTGTTACCGTTGGGGACGCTGGCAGGAGGTTTGTCGTAAAGTCAGATTACTTGAACAAACCAGTTCTCCATCACCTGCTAGAAAAGATGGCCCCCTGGCTATACCTTGTGACAGGTGTTAACAACAAAGACCTCGGTTAAGCTCATGAAGGGCATTAATTCATTTTTTTTTCATGATTTCATGTGACAAAGGTGGTAGTGGCGGAACAGCCACAAAGATTGGGTCCAACAGTTGAAGCAGGTGCCTAATCTCTACGAATTGTCACCGACATTTATTCCTGACCAATTAATGATGCAAATAAAGTTATATTCTTACCGCAGAATGATAAATTATTAGTTAACTATTTATGACAAAACAAGTAGTTGTTATTCGAACTTTACTTTATGCAATATATGTTTTATTCATGTTAATGTTAAGAAAAACCCTGAAGCATAAGCATACACTGAGTTGCACAGTGCAGTAAAAGTATAAAATAGAAACAAGAAACAGAAAAGGGGAAACGGCCTCTACAGCCTTAGATTTGAGGTGTTTATTTTTCCAAAGAAGAAAAGGACAAAATGAAAACCACTCAACGGCCTAAAAACGAGAGAACATAGTATGAAATCATCCTTGCATGAAAGGCTTTGTATTTTAGAGGTATTAGGATTAATCCTTCATAAATTCTGCACTGGACTGGAGCAAAGTTGATTTCCAGGTTAATTTTTGCATGAGAAAGCAACAAGTAGTAACAAAATGAGATTGCATGCCTAGATGTACTGCACTACTAGAGTTGGAAAATGCTTCCATCTCATATATATAATTGTCGTACATCAGTGGTGAATTATTTTCTTAAAGTTTACCTGCCTTGATAAATGGAAATCCAGTAGATCCCAAGCACTGGAAACAACAGCAGTTGATAAAGAATGGAAAGCTTCTTTTGCAGCATTCTGTCGTGACTCAAGAATCTTTGCATCAGCAAAGAGCTCCCCTAGAGCCTTTTCAAGCTCTAGCTTACCTGACACCTGCATGCCAATTACAATAAAATCTTCAGCATTTGACACACAAAATATACATTGCTACATGAACATCTTAGATAATTTTACCTAAAGGCCTAACAAGAACATGTTGCCAAAAGGATGACAATTTGCAAGGAATTTTGAAACAAAATGAAAAATTTTAATGTGGTTCATTAAAAAAGATATTTCAAATTAAGCTGATTTAGGGCAAATGACTCTAAGGAGGTGAGGAGACTCCAAGACTATCATCTGCCCATCCAGACTGTGTTAACACCATTTACAGGTAAACATCTGTAAGAGACAACATCCAAATAACTACTTGGATCCACAAAGAAATCGGATTTAATAAATCAAGATATAGGACCAGATAGACTGGAACAAAGATAAAACAAGTAGGGACTGTGTAACAGGATGGTGATAACCACAGCATTCCATCTAAAAGGAGGTCTTTAGTTTAAATGTCCCTTTTTACAATAAAACATTTTAAAAGGAATGATTAATCAAGAAGAACAGAACTGCATAAAGAAACACATTTTTCATGTATACATGCTAAATGCTTATAGTACAATAATCATATACCTGACATACCATATTGTTAAGACAGATGCTATCATCTTTGCAAAATCAATCTAGAAAGAATTGGGCTCAACAAGAGATCTCTTGGAAAAAAAAAAAGGAAAACACACCCACACTTAAAGTGACAAGATACCTGCATTACCGACAAAGGATTTAATTGCTGCATTTCTCTCACCATATGCGAGAAATGCCCAATATGATGACCTGAAATTATGAGAAAATAAAATCCTTTACAAGGTTATATAAGGCCGATGAAAAAAATTTATGCATGATATATATAAATTTTTACCAGTCAAAACAGCACAGCCAGCAGCTGCTGCTTCTGATATGTTATGGCCAGCTAACCCAGGTAAGAAAGAGCCTCCAATTACGGCTATTGGGGTCAACTTATACAAATGCCTCAATTCACCTGCAATAGACAATAACATTACGAATCAAATTTTTCGTCTAAAGATTAAAATAGATAAAATTCAGGAGAAGTAAAAAAGAATAAGATACTAAATACCAAGCGTATCCACCAAATATATGCTTGTTCCTGGAATAAGCTTTTTATGTTGAGACCTTAAAGCTACATTCAGCCCTCCTTTATTCAATACCTGCATTATAAAAGCTTTCCTAATAATTCAAAGAAAATGTAAATTGTAAAGCCAGTATATGCTAATGATGTCATGCAACAAAACATTCTTTCTCAATCAAGGTGAAGCTAGTTCCTATCCAATTAAATAATGACTTCATGAATAATGATTTATATGTGCATTTTATCGTAAAAGGAATTTGATTTTAGTAACATCTACTGGTAAGGGATGATATAGAACAGTAGAAACATGTTGAAAATGATAAATAAAGTTCATTATCATATGAGGAATTGAGGATGGCTACAATGCAGAGGAATCTAGCTGGATTGTCAATAAATTATCACGGGTCATAAACTTCACATTATAGTATATATAGGAAAATAATTCTCCAGGATGTTGTAAACAGCAGTTATCACCAGAAAAAAGGTGATTTGAATTGGCAGATGAGATGGAGGGGCATGGAAGTAAAGAAACCAAAATTTCAAGCATGTAGTAGACCAACTAGAAAAACAATTATAGAAAATAAAGCTGGTGTGCAGAAGAATCGTACTTTGGCAATCTCTTTTCCATGTAGTGGATGCCGAGGAACAATAATGGTGACAATGTCTGGGTGACTTTGCATAAGAATGTTGTGGACTCCTAAAATTACTGCAGAAAATGTCAGTTAGTGCTTTGTCCAGGAAAAGCATAACTCCAATCATGTATATTTTCACTCTACAATCCTGTAGGCAAAACTGTAATAATATAGAGAGTTTAAGATTAAATGTCTTGAAATGAAAACAATAACCAAATGCAAAATGACCATGGTTCATTAAACTGTCCAAGCGGATGCACTACATTAATTAACTGCAAAAGCTATGACTATCCAACAAGCAACCACTGTAAATAAGAAATAAAATGTTATATGGAGGATCATGTTATTTCACTGAAAGCCAATGGCCAATGAAAAAGGAGGGTAGCCAGACTGATCAGACATAAACCACTGTAACATTGGTCTCTCTTCCAACGCACCTTGCATACTAATCATCCATAAATTCCTATAGAATGCCAACCTTTCAAAACAAATCTATTAATATATAATCTTCAAAGAAAAATCTATTAATATATAGTATCATATACTTAGTTAAGATCTTGCGCAAAACTATAATGCAAACGACAACCCTGAACAAGGTAGTCATGGCAGAGTTACAAGAGGAGCAAGAACTTACTTTCTTCTTCACCACGGTGAATTGAAGCAGCCATCCAAACCTGTTTTTGAGAAAGTTGTTTTTGCAGATATTCTATATGTTCAGCATCTTCCTTTAGAAGATCATATTCATTCACCGCTGAATAGAAAGAATAGTAGCATATCAGGACAGATTATAATAAATCTCAAGAACTAACCTTATATATATATACCATCTGAAAAAAAGTGAGGAATGTTTATGCATCGAATCTAGAGAGAAACAACCAAGTGGAAGAAGGCTTGCTGGGATCGGTAAATTATTCTTTTCATGTACTAATTATAAATCAAGTACAGGGAAAACGAATTGATGGTTTAGCAATGTAAAACAAATGTAATCTACAATACCACTTTGCAATTCAGAATAAGAACAGAACTGCATAGCAATACAAAAATAATGTTCAAAGAGAACATATAATTGACATACCATATTTTAGATCGCCAGAAAAATTTATGCAAAAAGGTGGAGCTTGAAGTAGCTGAAAATGAATTGCCTGAACATTGCTCTGTGGAATGCAACAAAGAATTTCTAAAGTAAAAAAGGGTACTGATAACAATAATAGAAGTGGATTTGCTTTGACAAATGACATGAAAAGGAAGATGTGAATTACATACCAATGGAGCAATCAAAGAAAATTGGGACAATAAAAGAGATATTAGTGGAAACAAGAGTGGTCTTGACCAATGTCTAAAGGATTTTGCAGACAAACGAGCATTTAATAATGCAAGACAAATCTGAAAAAAAAATGCATACGTTATAAAATATTAAGAACACCAGAAATATAATACAATACCATAAAAGTAAAAACATGCAGAAAGTCATATGATAGAGAAGTAAACCAATGGTGTAGACTTAGTAACATGTACCAAGTAGGAAACAACTTACACCAAGTCTGGAAGCACCCATAATAAGATTCGGCCATAATTCATTCTCCATTATTACAATCCATTTTGGCTTCCAATACCCAAGGAAAGCATCCATGGCAGCAGGTGTATCAAGTGGAGCAAACTGTTACAAAGGTCTAAAGTTTCACTTCATATATATTTATAAAAAAACACCATAGCTCATAACACTTGCATGATTTGCATGTAACAGCATCAATCTTCCAAATAAATCAACATTCTAACCTGATATATTACATTAACTGGAAGTCTATCTTTCAGTACTTCACTGCAAAAAGAAAGTTAAATTAAAATGATATCTACAGTTTTAGCTGTAAATTAACCAAGGATCATATTACAGCTATTACAATATATTTACTTAAACATTCGAGTTTCCAAGAAATCGTAACCAAATTAAAGTTTTTTGAAAAAAAAAATAAAAGAGAAAAGAAACAGAAACAAAGTTTAAGGCGATGTATTACAATGCGGAAACCGTTGTCGTCGTCATCAAAATGTTGATACCCGGACTCCGTTGAGTGCAAAATTTGATGACAGGAATGGCGGCCATTCCTTCCCCTAAAGAGACGGCGTGGAACCAGAGAAGTGGGCCAGCGGAGGGACGGGGGAGGGAAGGCTGACCTAAGCGTTCGCGCCACCTGATAGGGTGCTCCAGTCCTCGGAGCCTGCGCCAGTGTAAGTGAAGGTGAATCAGCGGGGATAGACCGTAGCTTAAAGTTCTGTAGATTTTGTAAAGCATCTCTCCCTTTGGGACCACCGCCATTGCTATTTCACCGCTATGTTTGGGGACTGTTTTTGTTTTTAAAGCTGAGTGCGCGGTGCGGTGATATTAAGACATACCCAGGGGTAGGTTTATGGTTTTTTTTTTTCAATACCCCAAGCGATTTAAATTTATTAAGTTGTTAGGCGACTTAGTTTTTATTTTGAGAAATATGGTAAATGCTCAACTCATCATCTTGAGCTGGCAAGTTCATTCGGATATAATTTTTAAATGGTCTTTGAGCATGTGGCAAGTTCATTCGGATATAATTTTTAAATGGTCTTTGAGCAGTGAGCCTCATGCTGATCATTATTTTTTTTATGACTCATCATCTCGATATAACGAGTTTATTAAAAAATTTAATTTTTTAAATTTCAAAATAAAATTAAAATTTTTAAATTTTAAAATAAAAATTAGAGGGAACTCGTCATCTCGAGATTAGGAGTTCTTTCAAATTCAAAAAAACTAGACGTTGGTCAACGGGAAAATGCAACGGTCATATAGGCAACTGTTACTAAAATTTTGAAAAAATTAGTCGTTTATAACCATTTAGGGAAATGCTATAAATATGGGTTTTGGGTTTTCACAAACCTTAAATCCAAAAAAATACAAAAAATATATGTTGTGTGAAAATCTCAAAAAAATGACAACCCAAGAAGAAATATTGCGCCTAGATAATGTCCATGTTTCGTCAATCTAAAGCGGGCCGAAAGATGAATGGATTATTTGTAAGTGCGAGATAATATACGGAGAGCCGTATCAGTGGATACTAATATATCTGTAGCAATTCAGTCTATTTTCGGTCATATATGTACGTGGCATCAAGTTGTACCCGACATTGATTGAGGCTTTGCACACGTTCCATTTCGTGAGTGGTGAAGCTACGATTACTTTAAAGACATCACTTACCAACTTGATATTCCTGTGAATGGAGCTCTCGTGGTGAGGCAAAACATGTATGATCCCGCGACGTTAGTCTACCAAGTTTTAGGAAAGATGTCACCATTCAACGTCATCAATGGTTATTCAGTACGAATAACGTGGTTGGATTCTGAATTCCAAGTGGCATATTCTACCAAGAACGAGGTTATTTTTGCGTCCCAGGCATATCTTCTCTAACTGATCGGATGTGTATTATTACTGGATAAATCTGATAATTTGGCGCACACTCAGTATTTGTGATTTTTGGAAGACTTCGTTGTGTGCTGGGCTTGACGATTTTAGCCTTTCTATACCAGGAGCTTTGCTAGGTTGCAATTGTCCAGTCGGGTCGAATAGTCGTTGTAGCAGGTTGTCTAATATTGCTATAATCATGGGCTTGGTATCGATTTTCATTTTTTACGCCAATTACACCAGCCCCAGTCAAGTTTCCTCATGCTGCAAATTAATTTTTAACTTCATTTATTTAATCATTTTTTGAATTTTATTAACTTAATTATTTTTATTTATTTATAATTTTTTATTTTTAAATATTTTAGATGTGCCACTACATGAGATATACTGATAAGGATCAACATCGTCGATCGATGTGCGATATGAATTTGTTATTTTATTATTTTTTTGAAATTTTTTTAACTTTATATATACTAACTTTGATATTTAATATTTATTGTTTTATTAGCTTCCGTATGTTGACGATGAGATCAACCAGTTATTGACAGCGCGATTTTTTTACGGGTCCGATTTATAATGTGCCATGACGTCACTATTACATTTTATGATTGTTGAGTGACACATCGCTGATAGAGTAATACGATAATTTTCGTCGCATCAGTCGATTCTTACGTAAATCGTTGAAATTGATGCGCTCCATAGAATTAATATGCATGGGAAACATATCGAAAATTGGCCAATGAATCACGCTTACTATATCAAGCTATGGAATTAGCTTCAACTATCGAACCCCCTGTGTTACGACATTACACTGTCGGACTTAGATTTCGACCATTCTCCATATCTCTAAAATTATGAAGCAAACGGGAAACCATATCTTACGACACCTCAAAAGAGGGGAGAATGGGAATGCCATCAAGCCACATGTACCAAGTCCAAGTCCAAGTCAAAGAAGAAATAATCGTCTTCTTCTTATTCCGCTTCAGCATCTACAGATAAAGAGTAAGATTATGCATCTCAGGCTAGTTTCAGTTTATATCCTCCATATCATACTTCAACCGAGACTCGACCGACTTGGGTTAGAGGCTCATGGGATGCACCGCAATATACTCAAGCATCTTCGACAGAAGATTCAGTTGTGGGTGAATGAGATCATATCTTATATGGTCAACAAAGTAGCAACCAAGTCGAATCAATTACGGTGATTATGACGTCAAATACCATAAGCCCATCATTGTATTTCGAATGTGGATCTCAGAGTGTGTTAAGTACACCTCATCGGTAAGATGTAGACTACGATGATGACGATTAATGCATACAACCCCGATGTACTCGACGAGTGTCGCACCTGTAACACCCTAAATTTCAAGCTAGTAGTTTTGGGTTTACCTATGAGGTAAGTGAACCTTGTAAAATTTATAAATTAAGTTGTTAGGCTTAATTGGGTTCGTTTTAGGACCCAATTAGCTATAAAAAGGGGATTTTTAAATAAGGGACAAAATACGAATGATCAAAAGTGCAATTATACTGTTGAAGGAAATTGAAGCTAAGATTTGGGGTTTTATTTCATTTTGGACGTGAGTGTCTCATTTTGCTCTTCATCTTCTTGTTTTCTCTTCTTATTCCCTCTCCAAATCTCCATAACATCAAGTGGTAGTAAGATTTCATTTTTTCTCAACCTTATTAAGTCTCAAATTTGTCCCTCTTACTCCCTATAACATTCTTATGTTAAGGAAATCCTTGCATTGTTGTGGCTAAAGGAAAAAGGGAGAAAAACCAATCAAGTTCAAAAAGTAAAGTGCTTGCTAGCTAAAGAATGTTTATTTTGGGTTTCTAAAATCAAGGTATTTCTAAACCTTTAGAGTATTAAAATTTCATAAATTTAAAGTATTTATAAGAATTTGAGTATTTAAGCATGTTAGGGTTTATAGTTGATGTTAAGATCAAAAGACATTTTATTGATATGTTTTTATGACACTTTAGGACCCTAAACAACTTACGAAAGCTTTAGAACAAGATTAAAAACCAAATTATAGCTTTTAGGATGATTTTTGGGTGTTTCCATACCCAAAACACCCATTTCATAGTTTGAATATTGATATTGGGATTAACAGTACCTATAATGGTTGAATTAGGGGAAAAATTAGGGTTTCTAGTAGAGAGTATAGATACTGAGGGAAGTAGTATCGATACTAACCCCTTGGTATTGATACTGAGGGTTGTAAATATCAGATGCTTCGTATCAAGATTGAATGCTTGATATTGAGACCGGATGCTCGGTCTCAAGATCGCTCGATCTCCATACAGAAGGACTAGTCTTTATACTAAAAAATTGGTATTCATACCGAATAAATGGTATTCATATTGAATGCTTGGTATCAATACCCAAAGCGGTTAAGTGACTTCAAGATGCCAACTAGACTTAAGAGTGAGCAGTATAATATCGTTTGAGTTTAGGTATCTATCTCAGGTACGAGAGAATGACTCAAATGCTCTTAGGGGTTAAAATTACCAAATTACCCTTATGGGCTTCAAAGCAAGTAACTCAGAGTTGAACTCGATCAGTTATCGGGCTAATGAATAGTATAACCGGTGAACAGTGACCACAAAAATCATTGTAAAAACCCCGATACACATAGAAACTTTGTTAGAGACAGAGAATGACTAAAATGCCCTTGAGTAATTAATGATCAATATAGAGTAGCTTAATAAATAACAACAGTAGCAGACTATTAAGCATTTGCCTAACATTCTAGATGAGAGAACGAGCGAGATAACAACTAGTGAGAAGACGACCTCACTTTAGTGAGCCCATCTATATTAAGGTATACCCAGGTTAACTTAATTTCCCTAGGGGGCATTGTTAGTGCACGAGGCACTTTTGAAGTTAATTAGGGTGTGAGGCCCAAACACTCGCGAATAGTGGGTTACGATGTTAGTGTTAAATGGCATGTGGGCCTTAGATATGCATGGGTAGTTATGTCAGTTTTGTACAGTCAGATAAGCTTTCGATTCTTGTAAATATGGTTCTTACCTATAGGCTATTCCGTATTCAAGATAGGTTAGAGTGTTACTCCGAGATGCACGTAAATTCCTCTGACCACACTGCCAGACCTACCTCATGTCTTTTGTGTTAGTTATACATGTATAGTCCCATCAATTTAGTATGTCAAATATGTTAAAGATTGGCTTGAAGGCTATGTGAGATCAAGCCAATGCTTCAGCTTGTGCGAGAATTGTACCGATGCTATGTGACACCGGGTTCCCCTTAGTGATCTACTTGATGGCTATGTGAGGACAAGGGGATTCAATCAGTATTTTTTATGGAAATTACGCCGATGCCAATGTCACACCGGGGTTCCCTCAGTAACTAGTGTCTGAAAGCTATATGAAGCCAGATACTAGTCAGATTTGTATTCAGATAATGCATAAGAGTATCAGTGTCGTATTTAGGTAATGTGTAGCATGTTCAATGGTTAGGGTAGGTGAGGCCCTTAGTAGAGGATTAAGGAAAGCACGAGACCCCAACTTTAGTAATAGAGCGATAAAGCCTTAAGTAGGTAGCACTTGATTTAGGTCATGCATGCACCTAATGCTTAGTACCATGTCTTCAACATACTTTTGTTTATAGAATTCTAACGCTGCTCTAGATTAGCTATTATACTGCTGGGCTTTGTAAGCTCAGTCTTTGGATATTTTTCATTGGCAGGTCTATAGAATAGGTAGTTCGATGAGCACCTTCGTGGCAGGACTTCCAGCATCCCCATTCAGAGTATTGTATTATAGTTTTAGTGGGCATGTGTATTCATAGGATCCTTATTATTGTATTCAGCGAGTTGTAATATTTTGATTTAAACTTGTGTCATGGAGCTTTGTTTTGTAAAATATTTGTAAAATATTTATTTATG